AGTATAGTGTGTTGTTTTCAATTAGATCGTTGTCATTAGGCTTTACTCTAATACTATACATCAGTATTAATCATGAAAATATGTAACCACTGAAGGCAACTTACTGTGAGTTAGTAATCCTAATGAAATAAATAGATTACGTAACAACTACACATGATCGGTAAAAGTACAAGTTGATAGTATGGAATACAGTAGTACTGATAGTAGTGGTGAGAACAATAAAACACAATAACTTTTGCCTATCATGTGTAGTTGTTACGTAATCTATGTATTTCATTAAGATTACTGACTTACAATATATTGCCTTAATTGGTTTCATATTTTCATCATAAATATTCATGTATATTAGAGAGTAAAGCCTGGCTATCCCGATCGTAGCTGCTACCTTGACGAGGTGGTCGGGCATGCCCATCGTCATCACCCAACCGAGCTATATTGGCTGGAACATGTGTTCCTGAAGGTTCCACCATACCAGGCAGGTGAATTGGAGAACGATGAAACTAAAAGCAGCTACTCAAGGTCTGAGGATGAAGCCGTAGCGCTGACTGCAGAGGCGTACGTCAGCAAGAACGTGTTTCTCTCGAACAACCAGCATCTGCAGCGATGCCGCCTTCTCACAATGAAGGAAGGGGTAGAAAAGGTCGACCTTAAAAATGTCACACCTCACTTTACCTCACGAATTTCGGTCCTCGTCGGTAAGGCTGCCCAATAAGAGCAGAGCTAATACTGTAAAGATGTTTCATAAAAAGGCCGTGTGTGACCGGCCTCAAGCAGTTATCCCTTGAGCTCTGAGGTCATGCCCTCCAGGTCTCTAAGACCGACACTAATTTACCTTCCTTTTCATGTTCCTGAAGAAACATCCTTTCACGGTTTGGACAGCCGGGAAGTGACAACCGCCCTCATACCACCCGTAACAGTACACGAGACCGAATTGATCACAATTAAATTCTTCCTTCAAAGCCAGGCTAACAACGATCTCATTTGAAAACAACAATTCACTATTCGCTTATTATCTGTGTTGTTCCAATTGTTACATTGTGTGCTTTTTTCCACTATAATGTAACGAAATAGACAGAGAGATACAACGCAGAACTTCGTACGTACGTACATCAGTTCAAGTTGCCATACCACCACATTAGCACAGAGACGCAATTGTCAATTCAAATCCAAGAGTGATAGCGATAGTATAAGTATTAGTAGTGATGGAGATACAAGTGTCAACTCAAATCCCATAGTAGTAGGGGTAGTGAAAATATTAGAAGTAATCGGAGAGATTAGGATTAGAAGATATTATTCAAGAAGTATAATTCAGTGAAATAACTTCAGAAAGAGAAAGATAGAGATATGATGAGGAATTCAGAAGGTTAAAATTTGAGAAAATACAAAGAGTAAATGCACCTGCACCATTGCAAACGATTTTGAGCCATATCATCAGTCAAAGTCTCTCTAACCATTGGTGACCATCTCGTGGACCCCAACCAGGTAGCCTACATCTAACAACATAACTCAGTGCACTTGTAACGAAATGAAAATGCACAATTCACTATCTAATTTATTTATACCCAATGTGAAATGATTGATGAACAAAAGGAACAAATTGACAAATGGCGGTGTGTTTAAATGAGGTGAACATTGTAAGGTATGATGAAAAAGACAACCAAACAGTTACAAAAAAACGAATTCAATGATCACTGCTAGAATGAATGAATGAATGAATGTGAGCAGAGTACTTTATCAATGATGGGTTAGTTAGCTTGAACAATACAAGTGGGGACACACACAACCACACACACATATATACACACACGGACGTATACACCGTACACTGCAAACTGTCTTACCGAAACTCTTCTCTTTTTTTGTGGGGAGAAAATAAATCATGAATAATCAAGTGTAGAATAAAGGAATATACATATTTGGATCGGAAAAAAAGAGCAATCTTAACACCATCATAAGAAAACATGATACTCATATTGTAGTGAACGAGAACACAGGTGAGGCAACCGAATTGTATTTGACGAAAATTACAGAGTTACTCAGTAAAATTGGAAAACCATATCGTAAATCGTTCATTTGCAAAGTATCAATCCATCATATCAAACTGGACTGTTTCTGTTGCAAAACATCAATCCATTGTCACTATTCATGCGTTTCATACAAATTCCATTGTGTTCCCACTCTTCCTTTCTTGATCTTCCCCCATCCTCTTCTTCTGCCAGACATTACGTTGACACTCACGTCATATACTACTTATAAGTAGCTCACACCACAATATCATAAAAGGTTCATATATATGTTAGGAATTGTCAAACTCAAAAAATCATCATCATCAGCAACAACCACCTACTGTGGCAGAGAACAACACAGATTCCAGTTAAGAAAAAGATTAGGGAAAAAGTGTTGGAAGTGAACAGGAGGGGGTACACAACATTGCGGAAGTCATCGGGCTACGATGTCACAAGACAAGTCTTAGCATAGAATTCTCAAAGCAAAGAGAAAAGAGACAGACCGAAGGATATTTTAAACCGAGAATCAGAGACAAACATGAAAAAAAAATGAATAGCCATTGAGAACCTAAGACAAACAGAAACTGAGGAGTATTGTCTATGTACGAACGAGAATAGTTTGTATTAGTGTTTCAGTTTCAATTAACAAATAGTGTTGAGTGAGATGAACATTGACGAGAAGTCTTGAATTTAGGCATTTTTTTGAAAAAAAATTGCATAACTGTTTCTAACAACAATAGTTGAATTTCAGTTAGTATATTCCACGAAAAAAAGAGTTGAATAAACAAGAAGTTTGAATCAATCGAAGTAGTATGTTACCACTTGATATACAAGATGGAACACTCGTCCACGAACAAAGAATACAACACAGAAAGTAATCCGTAAAAAGATCATGTTTGAGAAACAGTAGAAACTAAGTGACATTAAAGAACTACCACCTCATTCGAACTATGGACTCTTCTCTACAATGTATACCGAATTGCTCCCCTCCCCCATACACACAAAATCAAATGAAAGATATTTTAGACGTCTTATGGTCAAACACTTCACTATCGAATCCTCACTTTTCTAATCTTAAAATTAATAATACTCATTCTAAGCAATGTGTGATGTGTGTATGTGATGGTTATTTAAAATCATTGGATAAGCTACTCTGCCACATTTGTAAATGAATGACTCCCTACAGTGGATAGTTGTGTTTGTAGACTGTTGAAGTAATATCACAACAGGATGAAACAACTGTCCAATTACCTCATTTGATAACTTTCGGGGTTTTTTACAATAAACGCTTGCCTGAAGATATATTACCCATGATTCAATCTACATTTTAACATACAAAAATATCGTGCTTCTGATTCACACTGATAACTTTTTCATATCAGTAGTCATACTGCATTATAACTCCACCCGAGAACCTTCTGAAGTTACTGCCAGTTCTAAGCCCGGATAAAGGAGTACAGTTATGCATGAAGTCGTTAACGATCCCATCCCGTAGAAAATCAACATACTATAAAAACTCTGTGACCAGAAAAAATAATTCGCTAGTCAGCGACCTATGCTCCACATTAGGCGGTAACAGACGGAGGTAAGTAAGTAAGTAAGTAAATAATCTTACTGTATAAAAGATTACGTTTTAAAAATAACCTTATAGTAGTCAAACTAAAATATTTTAATAACTGTTTAAAAATAAATTTATTTCATAATTTCATAATTAAATCAGAAATTTTTTTAAAAAAAAGAGGCGGTCATCGTTTTGTTTATCTAAAGTATATAATCTACCTAATTGATTAGATAGATAGAGAGAAAAATGTAACCCTAGTTCAATAGTCCAATATCAATTAATCAGTTTTTTAAATGTACGAAATGATCAGTACAACAAGAGAAAAACTGAAATATTCATACACTACACAAATCAATGAGATGCTGACCAAGTGTAAGTTTCTCAGAAAGTCACTCCCTGAGACTTAGACCTAAAGGTCTAATCTATAAGAGAGTGAAAAAAAACGTGAACAACACTAAGTCATTGGTTTCATCAGAATCCTAGAGCCCATGTGTGCATCAGTGTGGTTTAAAATCACAGTTTCCAAAAACTCCGTTAGATGGATACCCTATACTCATCAATGTGAGCATTTACGACCGTAGCTGCTACCTTGACGTGGTGGTTAGGCTTGCCTTTCGTGATAACCCAACCGAGCTATATTGGCTGAAACATATGTTCCTGAAGGTTCTACCATGCCAGGCAGGTCGATTGGAGAACGATGAGACTAAAAGCAGCTACCCAAGGTCTGAGGGCGAAGTCGTATTGCTGACTGTGATGTAAGGGTGTGACAGCAGTAAGGTGTTTCCCTCGGATAACCAGCATCTGCAGCGACGCTGCCTTCTCACAAGGAAGGAAGGGTTAGAAAATGTCGGCCCTAAAAATGTCACACCTCATCACTCTACCTCACTGATTTCCGTCTCCGGCGGTAAGGGTGCCCACTAAAGGCTTTTAAGAGCGGAGCTAACACTCAAAAAACGCTGTGCGTGACCGGCCTCAAGCAGTTGTCCCTTGGACTCTGCGGTCACGCACCCAGGTCTCCAAGACCAACACTAATCTATCTTCCTTTTCAGGTCCCTCAAGAATCAACCTTTCACGGTGTGGGCAGCCGGGAAGTGACAACCGCCCTCATACCACCTGTAACAGCATGAGCATTCCCTTTCATTCCATTCAATGTTATAAACAAAATAGTTCTACCACGAGAAAATAGGGATCAGAACTTTTCTCGAGTATATATGCATGACCATATAAAAAAAAACAATTTTAGAGAGTTGGATAAAGTGAACACTCTCTCCTTACTTTCAATCATATCAGGGTGCAATTTTATTACAGAAACAATACAATTAATTAAACTCTATCAATTATATACAAGTAATAATTACTATTCACAAGAATACCTTACAATACATACATTATTGATGATATAAACACAAAAATAATATTCAGCAAAAACTAACCTCCATTTTTACCATGAAACGATCATACATGGTATAATAAGGCCTAAAAAGAATAATGGTAATAATAATTTTTTCAATTAGGGTTATGAAGATTAGTGTTTCCATTTTTACACACTGAAATCATCAATCAATCATTGTTAGACACCAACATCATGAGGGAGAAACCTGCCTAGAGAGGCAGTGAAAAATAGCCGTGCAAGATCGAAGGTCCTGAGGTTCGAACCGCGCATGAGTCGTAGATGTGTACTGCTTGCTGATGAATCCCATACACGGTTATGAAACGGCTGTTATTCAGTGCTTCTAGGTTTGGTTAATAGTTGGTGTCTAACAATCATTGAGTGATTGGTTGATGATTTCGCTGTGCAGTAAGAATAATCATAAATGAACAAAGGAGAAGGAGAAGATATTACACATTCGCCAAAAATCCTTTAAGAATACTTAATAAATTACTATTTTATTATCATCAAAAAGATTTGTATGAAATGAAAAGCTAAGATAATTATTCTACGAATATCTTCTACTCTGACTGGCCATGTTTCACAGACATATAGGAGATCAGAGAGAACTGCTGCATAGTACACTCGAACTTCAGTTAGCAAACGGATATCTCGCCTTTGCAATAAGTAACGCAAGTTGGCAAAAGCCAATCAGGCTTTCTGTATTCGTGCTGAGATTTTGTCAGTCACTAGGGCATCAGCACTGATGAGACTCCCAAGATAAGTGAAGCGGTCTACACGCTCGACTACTTCATTCCCTATCACTACAGTTCAGGTGCCGATGCAACCCAATCTTGAAGCAACATTTCGCATTTCAAGGGGGAAAACCGCATCCCGAACATGTCTGCATTGTTGCTCAGGGTGTTCAGAGGACTCTGCATTTTGTCAGCGTCTTCGCCAAGTAGGACTATGTCATCGGCATATTCTAAGTCAATAAGTGAGCCACCTGGTAGGTCCACTCCAGAAAATTCAGACGAGGATAAGGTTATTTCTAGGAGCATGTCTATGATAAAATTAAACAAGAATGGAGACTCAGTCCAGTTGTTAGTGACTTCATAAATCTATGCCATGTTTTGGCTTGGCTGCCCCTTACCTTCTTTCAGCCTACCCTTCCTTTACTGGTCGATGTAGTTAGGAATAAGTAACAAATGTCCTAACCACTTCAACTCAGCAAAATCCCCTACTTCATCAATTAATCTGCCACCCTTATACTTAGTACCTATTTCCCAACACTAGTAGTACAGCGTACTCGACAGTCCCACCAGATACACGCAATGCTTCAACGACACCTATAGTCGAATACTAGTAACCTATGAATATCATCTAACTTTGTGAAAAACCACCCGACCGAAGCTGCTACCTTGTCGTGGTGGTCGGGCTTGCCTATCGTGATGACCCAACCGAGCTATACTGGCTGGAACACATGTTCCTGCAGGTCCTACCATGCCAGGCAGGTCGATTGGAGAACGATGAGACTAAAAGCAGATACTCAAGGTCTGAGGGCGAAGTCGTACTGCTGACTGCAGAGGGGTGTGACAGCAGTAAGGTGTTTCCCTCGGACAACCAGCATCTGCAGCGATGCTGCCTTCTCACAAGGAAGGAAGGGTTAGAAAAGGTCGGCCCTAAAAATGTCACACCTCACCCTACCTCACGAATTTCTGTCTCCTTGGGTAAGGGTGCCCACTAAGGGCCTTTAAGAACGGAGCTAATCCCCAAACAACGTTTCATAAAAAGGCCGTGCGTGACCGGCCTCAAGCAGTTGTCCCTTGGACTCTGCGGTCACGCAACAACACTAATCCATCTTCCTTTTCAGGTTCGTCAAGAAACAACCTTCCACGGTGTGGGCAGCCGGGAAGTGATAACCGCCCTCATACCCGCAACAGCACACGAGACAAAATTGTTCAAAATCAAATCCTTCCTACATTCCCTAATACCTCTCTTATCTCCACAACTAACTCTTCTCACATTCATTTATCACAGTGCACAGCTAATGCAAACGATGCGAGTTCGCGAAACGTCGTTCCTGGTCTCCTTAAATCCCGTTCCAAACTACATGTTGGAGCATTCAATGTACGGACATTGTGTCAAATAGGGCAACAGGCATCATTAGCTAGGACTTTAGAATCTCGTTCCATCGATGTGTGCTGCGTCTCGGAAACGCGCATACAGGATCCGAGTAGCATCACTCATTTGACCTCACCATGTCAAGATAAAGAAGCAGCTCGATTTACCCTTCGTGTATCCGGTAGCCCTGATGCTGCTTCTAGGGGCCTCGCCGGTGTAGGTATAGCATTGAGTCGTAGGGCAGAACAATCTCTCCTTGACTGGATCCCTGTAGATAGTCGCTTGTGCGCCGTCCGACTGAACGGGACAGTAAGGACTCGGAAAGATAGGGACACTCGCCGTTGCCTCTTCGTCATATCAGCCTACGCCCCCACTGACTGCAGCCCAGATGATGTAAAAGATGAGTTTTACAGAAAGCTTTCGGACCTCCTCCAAAAAGTTAAGCGCTCTAATATAGTTATAATGGCTGGTGACTTCAATGCACAAGTAGGTAGACTAAGTGAAAATGAAAGACACCTAGGTGGATGTTACGGTCTCGCGGCTCAAAGAACAGACGATGGCGACCGTCTGTTGCAACTGTGCTCAGATAACCAACTATTTCTAGCAAACACTAATTTTAAGCATAAGGAAAAACATATTTTGACCTGGCGACCCCCGAAGTCGTCTCAACGTTGGACACAACTAGATCACATCGCCATCAGCCACCGATGGAGGGGTTCGATAGAGGACTGTCGCTCGTTCTGGAGCACATGTCTAGATTCAGATCATGCCCTAGTGCGAGCACGTATTTGTTTGAGGCTTGCTGGACGTAGGAAAGACACCGTAAGGAAGCCTCTTAGGGCTTCACTTGATGATAATCAAGCTAAGAAAATATTTCAGGAGGAACTAGAAAAACAGTTAGGCGGCCATGAGAGTGATTCCCATCCTGAAGCAGGTTGGAATCATATCAAGAAGGCTGTGGAAACAGCAATGGTATCTGCTAGCAAGGTAAACCACAAGGCTAGGATGAAGCAGTGGATTTCAGTCGCATCCACCGAACTGATGGATGCTCGAAAACGCATCCCACCTGACTCTGAACATGATGAAGAGCGTAGTCAGCTTAGGCGCAGACTTATAAAAAGCCTACGTAACGACCGTGAACAGTGGTGGGTGGCGAAAGCAAAAGCGATGGAAAAGGCAGCGGCGATAGGCAACACTAGACAACTTTTCCGCCTTATTAAAGAAACCGGTATTAGGAACCCGAATGTGAGTGAGACTATCTCGGAAAAGGATGGTCTTATCATCCATTCTCAATCTAGGAGGCTGGACCGATGGGCAGAATACTTTAGGGATCAGTTCAACTGGCCTTCAGCCACACTTCGGTTGCCCACGATCTCCAGTCATCCTGAATGGCAAATCGATTTAAGTCCTCCCAGTTTACATGAAGTTGAGAAAGCTATAGGAAATCTAAGGGGAGGTAGAGCGGCAGGTCCTGATAGGCTTACCCCTGAGATGTTTAAGGATGGTGGTCCAGTTTTAACGGTTAGACTGACCGAGATCCTAAGTAGAAACAGGAAAATGGACGTAATCCCATCTGACTGGTCTCAGTCGCTAATTGTCCCAATCTACAAGAAAGGACAGAAGTCCTCTTGTGACAATCACAGGGGAATAAGTTTAACTAATATAGTTTCTAAATTGTTAGCCTCGATTATACTTAGACGTCTAACTAGAGCTCGTGAAGAGCAGACTCGAGAAAACCAGTCTGGTTTTCGACCTGGACGTGGTTGTATAGACCACATCTTCACATTACGACAGGTCCTGGAACACAGACACACATTTAGACGTCCGACAATAGTCGTGTTCCTGGACCTTAAGGCGGCATTCGACTCAGTGGATCGTGAGGTTCTGTGGCAGTGTCTGTCATTGAAAGGTGTACCAGAGAAGTACATTAACCTTATACAAGCACTCTACTCGAACACCACTGGTCGGGTGAGAGCATATGGCGAACTGTCACCGGAATTCTCTACATCAAGTGGTGTCCGTCAGGCCTGTCCACTCTCTCCATTCTTGTTTAACTTTGTCGTAGACATCCTCTTAGAGTTAACATTAAGCTCGTCAGATTTTTCAGGGGTTGAGCTTCTACCAGGAAAGTCGCTTACTGATCTAGAATATGCCGATGACATCGTTCTATTCGGTGAGGACGCTGACAAAATGCAGAGTCTTCTGACTACCATAAGCAACAATGCGAGCATGTTCGGGATGCGGTTTTCCCCCTCGAAATGCAAAATGTTGCTTCAAGACTGGGTTGCATCGGCACCTGAACTAGTGATAGGGAATGAAGTAGTCGAGCGTGTTGATCACTTCACTTATCTGGGGAGTCTCATCAGTGCTGACGGTCTGGTGACTGACGAAATCTCAGCTCGGATACAGAAAGCTCGATTAGCTTTTGCCAACCTGCGTCACTTATGGCGTAGGTGTGATATCCGTTCGCTAACCAAAGGGCGGGTGTACTGCGCAGCAGTTCGTTCCGTTCTCTTATATGGCTGTGAAACATGGCCGTTAAGAGTAGAAGATGTTCGTAGGTTACTAGTATTCGATCATAGATGTTTAAGAAGCATTGCTCGTATACCGTGGGACAACCGAGTAAGCAATGATGTCATTAGGAAACGAGTACTAGGTAAGGATGGCAGATCAATCGATGAAGTAGTGAAACTTCATCAGTTGAGGTGGTTGGGACATGTGTTACGTATGCCTAACCACCGACTGCCTCATCGAGCTATGTTTTGTGGTGTAGGAGTAGGTTGGAAGAAAGTTAGGGGCGGCCAGACCAAAACATGGCACAAATCCATGAAGTCTCTGACAAGTGGACTGAGTCATGTTGGTAGATGTAGACTACCTGGTTGGGGTCCGCGAGACGAAAGTCATCAATGGTTAGAGACCTTGAATGACATGGCTCAAAATCGTTTGCAATGGCGCAGGTGCATCCACTCTTTGAGCTCTCTCAAATCCTAATCTTCTGGATTAGTCAGCACCTCTACTTTTGTCTTTCTAACCTTATCTCACTGAATTATATTTTTTGAATAATATCTTCAAACCCTAGTCTTCTTTATTAACATTAATACCTCTACTATCTTTATCACTATGGGATTTGATTTGACATTTGCGTTTCTGTGCTAATAATGTGGTATGGCAACATGAACTTATGTACATACGTACGAAGTTCTACGTTGCAACTGACTGACTGACTGACTGTGAAAAACCACAACAGATATATATATTCAAAAAGACAACTTACTTTGCTTTACGAATATCAAAACAATGACGTTTCTCTAAATAACGAAGTGATTGTTCATTTGCAGCATAAATTTCCATTAATTTTTCATGTTCTAATTTAGCGTTATTTAATAACTTGTTAGCATTATTAAACTACAGAGGTAAAAGACAAAAAAACAATACAAAAATAGTCGCATAATTCTGTACTTTATCAATCAACCAGTCAGTCAGTCAGTCAGATGCAACGTAGAACTTCGTACGTCTATGTACATCAGTTCATGTTGCCATACCACATCAGCACACAGAAATGGAATTGTCAATTCAAATCCAATAGTAGAAGAGGTAGTAAAGATATTAGAAGTAATCGGAGAGGTTAGGATTAGAAGATATTATTCAAGAAGTATGATTAAATGAGAAAAGTTTAGAAAGTCAAAACTAGAGGTGTTGAAGAATTCAGAAGATTAGCATTTGAGAGAACACAAAGAATAAATGCACCGGCGCCATTGCAAACGGTTTTGAGTCATGTCATTCAGGGTCTCCAAGCCTCGATTATTATCATCTCGCGGACCCCAACCAGGTAGTCGACAACTACTGACATGGCTAAGTCCACTCGTTAATGACTTCATGGATTTCTGCCATGTTTTGGTTTGGCCGACCCTAACTTTCTTCCAACCTACTCCTACACTACAAAACAAAGCTCGTCGAGGCAGTCGGTGGTTGGGCATACGCAACACATGTCCCAACCACCTCAACTGATGAAGTGTCACTACTTCATCTATTGATCTGTCATTCTTACCTAGCACCCGTCTCCTAATAACAGCGTTGCTTACTCGGGTGTCCTAGGATATAAGAGCAATGCTTCGGATATACCTATGATCGAAAACCAGTAATCTACGAATATCTTCTACTCTCATTGGCCAGTACTTTATCAATGCAAGTTATTGTACACATTATTTGACGAAATGTCATTATTTTTAATACGAAAAGGAAGAAAAGTAAATGTAACTAAATCATAGATTGGTAAATAGTTGGCTTCAAGTTACACTTTAAATATTGCTACTACAGATCCAACCATTTACTACTGTTTAATATTATGTGACTTTAGAGATTGAAGGTGACGACGAGTAGTTCAAACAGATAAATTAATGGCTGAAAGTCAACTGTTTTATAGTCATCGCTTTATAGATATGAGAAAATATTATTTAACTGCTCAACTGTCCTTTTTATACAAGAAAATAATCAGCATAGAAACTATTAGAACTATATTTCTTCCGAAGGTGTGAAAGTTTAACTTCACCTGGAACCTTTTGAGGGTTACTGCCATTCCCAAGCCTGGATAAAGGAGGAGGGTTTGGCATGAGGTTAACGACCCTATTCCATAGAAATACAACTCTCTAAAAGCACGTTAACCAGAAAAATAATTTGCCGGTCTGCGGCCTATGCTCTTCCACCATTAGGGGTAACAGGAGTAAGTAAAGTAAGTATGAAAGTTTAGTATAGAGCAGTTAAGGCACTTCACTTACAAACAGTTTATTCCAGATTAAAATCTTGGTCATCTGAATGTAGTTCAAAGTCAAATACATACAAATATACTTAGTAAGTGTGAACTATAATTGAACACGTATTCAGTGTAACACGTGTAGGTGTATAAACAAATCTAAACGTATAGTAATTTATCGAAAAAGGAAGTAAGAAAGAATGATTAGAAAACTGTGAAAAGATCGCCTCATTAAGAAAAATGAGAATATATAAAGTGAATAGATGATCTTCGCTATTTACAACCCGCTCATCGTATTTTGTGCTAAGATATATTATTCAGATGTCCAACTGCGTCAAAAGACAGGCCCTCACTTGGAATCCTCAAGACCGACGGGAAAGGAAGGAGACCAAACAACACAAAACGCTAAGAAATGGAGACAGACATCAGAAAAATGAACAGCAATTGGGCAGAACCAGTAAAGAAGGTCCAGGACAGAGTAAATTGGAGAATCTGGTCGGTTGTCTATGCTCTTCCTTTAGGGTTAACAGGCGTAAGTAAGTAAATATTACTTAGATGTACAAAGAAAGAACATATGTGTCGTCAAACTGTAAAATCATTGGATAAAATTTTGAAACTTTCTTATCATGAACATCCAGCATTATTTACTTGTTTGTGGATATGAGTATTTAAGGATGACTAAATAAAAAGACCTGTCATGATAAAATTCTCTAGGCTATAGATTGTACTAACAACTGTTTCTGAGGTTTATATTTTAAAATATATGGTCACATCATAAACAAATAATATAATCTAACGTTCTTTTCAGTGAAACTGATGGTTAAGTTATTTTAAGCCTTATATGGAAAGTCATAATACTCATTGATAAGATTTTCATGGTTACATTATGAAACAAAATGACTAAGGTTGCTAACTATAAAATACCAGGGGTCCCAATCGAATACTACAAAACCGATCGCCTACCTCGATCATAGTTTTAAATCATGATAAAAAAAAAGTATCAGTTTACATTTCCAACACACAGGTAAAAAAAATTATACAATGCGAAAGCTATCATCAACCCGAACTATCCCTAAATTATCATACTTCATATCATTTTGGACAAAATAAAGAATCAACAACACGGTTAGTAAGAGAGAATTGCGATAATATCAGTAATACTGCATAAAACTAAATATGATAAATGCCATTTGAATGGCGACGAATCAACTTATTGAGTGTGGTTTATGGTGTAGTACTGCGTATAAATTTCCAATACACATGTTGGTCTGTTGTCCATACGGAAGATTACGATTATGTTTTAAGAAGAACAACGGGGTTACTGAATCGGTAACTTAATAAGAGAAAAATGTCGTAAAATATATATTAAATTTAGTATCTTGATGGTTAAAGCACTCAACTTTTAACTACTAAACTGAACGTTCCGATTGGGCCTTAGCTAGGTCGATATTTACTGTGATATGAGACAGACAGACAGACAGATATATACAACACAGAACTTCGTACGTAAGTACATCAGTTCAGATTGTGATATGAGCAGCTAGATGGTATTATTAGTTCTTAAATAAGAGGCGATGCTTAGTGCTAGGTACATAAAACTGTGCTGAGTTACCTAGTTAAAAACATAGAAACAATATAATCTCAGGAAGTAAATCCTAACTAGTAAGTACCTCTTTTTAAATTTGAACAACTCAGTCAGTCAGTCAGATGAAACGTAGAACATCGTACGTAAGTACATCAGTTCATGTTGCCATACCACATTAGCACACAGATATAACTGTCAATTCAAATCCATTAGTAGAAGAGATAGTAAAGGTATTAGAAGTAATCGAAGAGGTTAGGATTAGAAGATATTATTCAAGAAGTATGATTCAGTGAGATAAGTTTAGAAAGTAAAAACTAGAGGTGTTGAAGAACCCAGAAGGTTAGGATTTGAGAGAACACAAAGAATAAATGCACCGGCGCCATTGCGAACGATTTTGGGTATCTAACCATCGATTATCATCTCGCGGACCCCAACAAGGTAGTCGACAACTACTGACATGGCTAAGTCCACTCGTCAATGACTTCATGGATTTCTACCATGTTTTGTTTTGGCCGCCCCCAACTTTCTTCTAACCTATTCCTGCACTACAAAACAAAGCTCGACGAGGCAGTCGGTGGTTAGGTATACGCGACACATGTTCCAACCACCTCAACTGATGAAGTTTCATTACTTCATCTATTGATCTGCCATCCTTACCTAGCACCCGATTCCTAATAAGAGCGTTGCTCACTCGGGTGTCCCACGATATACGAGCAATGCTTCGAAGACACCTATGATCGAAAACCAATAACCGACGAATATCTTCTACTCTCAATGGCCATGTTTCACAGCCATAATAATGTAGGACGGAGAGAACTACTGCGCAGCACACTCGTCCTTTAGTCAGCAAACGGATATCTCGCCTACGCCATGAGTGACGCAGGTTGCCAAAAGCCAATCGAGCCTTCTGTATCCGAGCTGAGATTACGTCAGTCACCAGGCCATCAGAACTGATGAGACTCCCAAGTTAAGTGAAGCGGTCTACACGCTCGACTACTTCACTCCCTATTACTAGTTCAGGTGCCGATGAAACCCAATCTTGAAGCAACATTTTGCATTTCGAGGGGGAAAACCGCATCCCGAACATGCTTGCGTTGTTGCTTAGAGTGGTCAGAAGACTGCATTTTGTCAGCGTCTTCACCAAGTAGGACTATATCATCGGCATATTCTAAGTCAATTGGTGAGCCACTTGGTAGAAGGTCTACTCCTGAAACTCATAAATATGTCTATTTATTCTAAACTCATTTTCAAGAATACGTGTGTAATTTAATACAAACGATTATGCATATATATATATATGGGCATGGCATTCTTTTCATATAGTCATTTGAATAAAATAACAAAAAATATACACATAAAAGAAGCTCACATCTATAATGCTTTGATTTAAAGATTCCAATGTATTTGGATCTCTAACACCGGGCTCTGAAACACATGCTTCCAATTTAGCCAAAGTATTACGAGTTGTATCCAGCGTTGATATAGCATTGTCATATTTTAAAGCGGCTAATTGAATTTCTCTACGATAATATGCTTGTTTCTGTTTCAATTCATTGTATGCACGAGTACGTGATATACATTTACCAAGTTTTTTACGTAATTTCTGTAATTTATCTGATTGATCTGATAAAACTTTACGATAAGCATCACGAGAAATCTAAGTGAAAGAAAAGAGGAATGAATGATTAAATTGTATCCTACTTACTTCTAATCGTCTTTCTAATTCATTAATCTGTGTAGATGTTTTATTAAGTATATCTAACTGAACCTATTTAGAGTTAAAAAAATTAAAAAAAAGTAGTTGATAAATAAAGTAACAAGACAAACTATTCTACCTCAACTTCTTGCAAAGATGGATATGTATACTGGTCATTATGTGAATATTGATTCATGAGTTAATTCCGTTGTTTCTGGAAAACTCAGCATATGGAAGAAGAATTGATAACTTTCATGCTAATTGATAATTGATTTCGCATTTTAATCAAAAACCTATTGTAATGAAAAAAATATATTAGGGATATATAGTAGAAATTATGATTAGGAAAATCTGACCTTTCCGTTTAATAGAATAATTCAATCTAATGACAACTGTTTGCCGAATAAACAACGTTGTTATTTTTTTCTCATTAAATAGGTAAAACTAAACTTATTATAAAACAAATCCAGTTATGATGTTATCGGTTATAACTAAATCAGAAATAATCAACACCAATTATCTGGAAGAAATCAACATGCGAAAACTGCACATTTTCATCGATGTTGGACTGGTTACCGTATTTTCAAAGGTCTTTATTCTACTCAAAATACTTTGATGAATTAAGAAGCTCAGATCCAAGCTGAAACGGGGAAGAGAACTATGAAGAAATTAACGACATACAGACATTCACCCACTACTAATTTTATTAAAAAGTTATTTCGGCTAAATCGTATAATAGGCAGTTTTTGAATGCAAAGATGTCTTCCCTATTAAAGAACACTTCAAACTGCAGAAGCACAACAAAATGCTTAGCTGAAGATTCTATTATTTGAATTTCTTCAACACACATAAAGCTACATTTGCAAATAGTCGATGTACCTTACGATCTGAGAAAAAAGACACAACAAAACAGCCAGCACACAGGGTATGTTGGATCAGTGACTTACGGTGTGTCTACCCTGACACACTGACATAATAGAACTTCCAGGTGCTAAGGATTTTTTCTTAACATCTGACTAAGAGTTATGACTAAATTTAAATGATATCCAAGACGAAAAATAGATATATCCAATATCTTTTTCACGAGCTATTATAAACCAATTAATTTGTTAAGAGAGAAATATCTTAGCTATTGTGATCAAAGGCAATATGACTTTAGAATCAAATACATTTTCAATAGGCGCAAGTTGAATGGGACATATTGAGGAATAACTCTTCGAATGTCCTTAACGAAGTGATTACCTTAGCCAACCTGTGAATTAATTGGACTGAGTAATAAGTTTCCATCCCAACCAGAGTGATCACCTACTGGGAAGAAATAACCTGTTTGATATTTTCGTGGTGTTATGGAGTTAAACCAGAAAATGTTGTCTGTTAACTAACTTATACAGCAAGCAGGATGTATCAATGTTGGCATAACCGGAGACAATAAGTAGAGACAGGGACAGAAAAGCCGCCGGTCCAATATCCAATATCTTTTTCACGCGCCAGTTTAAACCAACTGATTTCTTTGCGCTCGGTTCTTGTTCTTTCAGTACGGTTCCAGATATCTGATAGTGTCCAATTAATTGCGGTCTAACCTCTCGAAAGCATCAATTCTAATCAGTTGGCAGCTTTTTGTGAGTTTGTATGTGCCGTGATTTGCGTTGCACGAACCTAGGTGTTTTCTACTTGATGCGCAATTTTTCGAGGATCACCTTGAGGGGCGTGATGGTGATGCCAATGACCAGGGACAAACACAATTTTTAATATCTTTAGGATGAGGTTGTATAAAATGAGCGATTTCTTTTCGTTGTTGTTGCGGTACTCATCCAGGTCTTCGGTAACGTACAATTTGTGGCTGCACTTATTCTAGTCAGTTTGGCAATGATGTGTGGGTTAGTGTATCTGAGTCATAATGCTAGCTCATGGAAGTAATGTTTCTGGATACTAGTACCTATCATATTACCAGGTAGGGGGTTATTTGCCGGTAGACCAGACTTAATCATTTTTGGGAAGTCTTCTATTTTCTTTCGTGATCGTCGATCAATCTTCTTCTTGATCTCACTAAATTTGCAGGCAATGTGTGCAGTGTGGCAGTCAAGAACTGGGGCATAGCCATTTTTGATCTCCCATGGGTGATTCATAACAATGACTTGATCAGTAAAGGTTGCGGCTTACTTCGGGGGATCGTTCTTGGAATCGCCTGCAACATAACCACGGTGGATATCTTTGACGAAACATTCTTCACATTAAAACCAACATTGTCACCGGGCAAGGCCTCTGCAAGGGCTTCGTGATGCATTTCGACGGACTTGACTTCTGTTGTTAATCCTTGCGGAGCAAATGTCACGACCATACCAGGCTTGATGATACCAGTCTCGACGCGACCAACAGGAACAGTACCAATACCACCTATCTTGTAGACATCTTGCAACGGAATTCGGAGAGGTTTGTTTGTTGGTCTAGATGGAGGTTCCATTTTATCTATTGCATCTATAAGTGTATGACCCGAGTCATTTAAGCTTTTCCCCTCCTTCGTTTTAGTAATTTCCCAACCTTTAATCCATGGCATGTTGGGAGTCTTTTCTATCATATTATCACCGTACCACCCAGAGACATGTACAAATGGGACTGTAGCAGGATTATACCCAACTTTCTTGATTCAGCCAGATACTCTGATAATTTCCTTGTATCGATTCTCAGAGAAGGCAGGTTCAGTGGAGTCCATCTTATTAACTGTTTGACACCCAGCGTGTATGCCAACAGAGCATGTTCTCTAGTTTGGCCATTCTGCGAAATACCGGCCAGAGAGAAAAGGAAAGAAATTTCCATTTCTATGACAAAGACGATTGTTTCATGGTGTAAATAAGTAAGCGAGTTAGTAAATCGGTAATGATGAAAATAAGAAAGAGCCAATAGGTATCAACAAAAACAAACGGAGATGCTTTCTAGAGAAACAGCTATGACATAATGCAGTGGGATAATCTTGGCAGTTGTGTTTGTAAAGCTTCTCTTAAAGCTGTTTACTGAGTGGTTTTTAATCACTGAGATTGGAAGAGCATTCCAACTGCGGAAAACTCTTAGACAGAAAACTTGAGTGTACCTAGGTTCCCCAATATGTGATTTTTTAGACTGGCTCAAGGAGTGTATAGTGTTAGGGTTTGGGCGAGTAGCATGCTTAGAATGTTGGATTCCATTATAAGAAAACCTATTATGTTTTCCCAAAAATCATCTTTCAACCCAATTAATTCCTTAGTTGTGCGTTTCTGCAATTCATCAGACATTCACACTGACTTTTTGGGAGAGAAAAAAGAGGGTAAAACAAGGTCACGGATTTCTAGTCGAGGTTATGTATACTTTTTTGACGGTGTTCGGAACAATTATGGTGTGATTACACTAATTCGTCAGGAAAGGAAATCGACCCAAGATAGTGTGATGTCGAGACTCGCCAGCTAGTATGCAGTCTATTCACTCCGGTCAGGAGCATCATGTACTCTAGATATTTGTGGAGCCGAGATAGTGGACTCCACACTCGCATCTCTCTCTATAGGGGGTGAATAAGGTACTGTGTTGAAAACCTTCGCAGAGCAGAAGAATGATAGATGGACCAGAATTCTTTACTACTGGTATTCTTTCCACGTTTACCACGCCATGAGAAGCTTGAACAAATATAACCTGCCTTTCCCTAGCCGATGTTATTCTTAACAAGGACGATTTTTATCAGTGTATGTGCTCGTCAATAGATTACAAACTGAGCTTAGGTGTGAAAGTACAACACACGATCGTGGATGTCAGAATTAGAAAACTGATCTACAAATAATGATGTGACTAGAAATCATGACGGTGGGGCGACAACCTCAAACCACACATGTGGCAGGACGTTTTGTTTGCTTACGGCCCTTTACGACATTGCAAGACATTACCAATTAATGATAGTGATGTTACTTTCCCATGTAGACCACATCTATGACTAGCGTTTGTAAATTTGTACTGGTTTCATTTCATACCGAGAAATTCTGGTTCAAGCTGACCTAGGGAGTTTATGCTAAAATGGACTTCACTTGTTACCTCTCAACTGGTGGTTGTAAAACCCATATATGAAATATAAGCAGGTCGTCCAATCACAGTGTTTTCCTGATTATACGCCGTAAATTTCCGTAATTTTTAACAGTTCAGTTTTTTTGAATATCCTCCATCCATATTACCATTTCCTCGTTTGTTATCTTACTAGTGACTGATCTTTATTCACCTAAATAAATGCAGGTGTTTAGTAAATGATATAATCTAAATGGATAGTGTAGAATCCTCTTTGGAATGTTTTGTTTGGGGAAATCCCTCGATGTATGTGTTTGTAATATGTTCTTATTGACTGTTTATGTTCTACGTTTTGGTACTATGTTTAATCCCTTTTTGGGATGTTATTATTTGTAGTTAGATATAGTTTCTAATTTTTGTACCCTTTTTGATTTTCTTTGTTTCTTCCTGAACTTTATTATGCTGTTTAAGTTGATACTTAATTATGGCAACAGCCATATCGGATTTCGATTCTCGGGCGGCTGATACGCTCATTTGAACTGGAAAGGTGCCATTTTAATCGGAATCGGAGCATTCTTCCAGAATTGGAAACACTTTGTGTTATTATATCATGAATAGCCGGTTTAATATTGTCTAGGTAATAATTTTTATTTGTAGTTATGATTAATAATAGAACCGTTGCTTACCCAAGTCATTTGCTTTTTTTTCGACTTAACTAGGCAAGGCTCGTATCTAAACTTCCTGAACCGTTATTCCAAAATTAAAACTCTGTTTTGATTTCATAGATAGGTTTGAGTAATTATACCCTGTTTCATCTAAAAAGGTATCTGTTGAGTCAAGACTCAGCTTCTGCTCCTCCCCCTTCCTCGTTTACAGACCTGGGTTTAAATTGCATCGGTTCTCAGTCAGCAGTGGATCTTTCCAACGCAGGCGACATAAATCGCGTCTACTATCGTATTATACTTTCAGAGCTTGAGACACTATTTGCAATTTTACGCGGAAAAAGTCATCCCTATATAAAAATCTAGTGTATCTTGTCATATATTTACATGATTTAACAACTTTTTACGGTAAATATGTTGGCGACTTTACCATTTTGATCTGGCCTGCAAATTGAGTTGCCTCAAGTGACTCATCATTATTTGAAACTAAACTACTATTATTATTACCCCGAACAAACTCACTCGGTCACGCACATGCAGTACTGGGTTTACCGTGCTACAGATTCCTCGAAACAACTAGCCATCTTTGGTAACTGACTCCGTGACCTCCTAACTACATTATCGATACCTTTTATTCCAGACCTCTGGCTTCAGTGAGTTTTAGATAATTCTTTTAGAAAATGTTTACGGACGAAGAGCTGTGGAATTCCGAATGTGCTTGACATCTTCATGTTGTTTTTCTTTAGGTCGTCTTTAAGCTTTACTTAAATATGCATGAATATTGATATGAAAATGTTAAACTGATCAAGGCAGTTCGAGTCAGTGATCACAATGAAATAAGATAGATTACGTCACTACACTTAATGGGCAAAAGTACAAATTGACAGTAGGAAGACGTGAGCACTGGTAGTGGTAAGAACAATAAAATACAATAACGAAAGTTTTATCAATAGTTCGACATTAGAAGTAGTAGTTGACCTAAAATAATCGTCACAATGCATTAAAACCATTACATAATAAGAAGTGTACATAATTACATAGTGAAGAATGTAAACAGGAAGAGGAAATAAATGAAAAGCAAATACAGATTGTGAAAATAATTTTTACAATAACAAAATAAAATTTAACGAATTTTTAAACGTTGGCTAAGTCATATCCGGCCACGAAAAAGATAGGGGTGTCATGAATTACTTCTGAATACGTAAACTGGGGTTGAATGTACGAATTCCTATGGCTTCTGCTGTGTGGGCGACGTGATTGAACTCTGTTGGTAAATGATGAAGGTATACTATGGGTTACTCGAAGCGATCCAGATTTATCTACAGTATGACCACTTTCACTCAGATGTGCCATGATAACACCACGTATTGTTTTCAAATGGCCCTTCATAAGCCATACTGAAAGCTGTTCGCTCATCCGTTGGATACGTTGCTGGTAATAGGCCCGGTATAGCTATCTCCACCGAAGCAGCTGAGTCTGTAAATGCACGTAGAGGAGGCAATCTCCGGTACTTTATTCTTCGTTTTGGTAGACATCACTGATCGAGTTGCGAAGCTCAGCGCAAGTTTGGCCGCGTAGAATGGTCGATTAATTTCTTTCGTTTATCTGTCCAGCAGTGTATCGCAGGCCACATCTCCTTTGAATTGTAGTTTAACAAGTAAATGTTTCTTTCGAACGGTCGAGGTCTCTGAATTCTTTCTTTTACATTAAACATATTATTCTTCATGAACGCTCTAGGGTAGCCAATCTCGGTCAGTGAACCTTTGATAAATTCCAGCTCATGGCTTAATGTATCTACTGAACAGGTCGATTTTGCTCTGCTAGTGAGTCATCTAACCTAAATTCTCTTGCAGCGAATAGAGAAGCAGCTGTACTTTCTGTCCATACGCTTCTACTTAACGAGTTATCACTGAGCCTGCTCAGTATGACGTCAAAGAAAGTCAGCTCTTTATCACACGCCTTTTCACCAGTGAAAGTGATTGCAGGGTGTACACTGTTGAATTGTCCAGTGAGTGTTTCTTTGCTGACGTTCTGATCTACAATGATTAATGTGTCATCAACGAACCGGCAATAGAGTTCAAGTCTCCTAATAGCTTTATTAAGTGGTTCAATTCTTAGCTTTCTGAGGAAAAGATCAGCTACAATTGGGGCTAGAGATGAGGCGATGGCTATCCAATCTATTTGCCAATAGTAAGCATTGTAGAAGACGGAATGGAAATTCGCCGTGTATCTTAAGAGCAGTTCTTTCAGGTAATCGTCAGGCAAGCCAATGTTGATTTGCTTTTTCCGATGAACTCCATAATCTTGAAAAGTTATACGTTAGTAAACAAAGTTATCACATCCAGTGAGATCATATTTTCCATACTAACATTCATATTTTCCACTTAGAAAACAAATATACATGGATATCAAAGTAAAGCCTGATGACTATCTTATTGTAAACATTGCTCGCTTTTATGTGTTGTTCTAATTTTCAAAATCGGAATCATTAATATTCATAATCTTCAAATTGTACCTGACTTAAGGTCTTTAAACTTCCTCAGCACCCAAATAAAATGTGACTTTTCTTCGACGGCTGAATCTGGATGACAATGCTTTCCTCAATTAGTGCAACAATAAGTGGAATTAAATCATAGCTTCATCAGGTAAACTCGAAGTCTACTTTCGATTCCGTCCACTTGTTTACACCCCAAATTGAATGACAGACAACTGTTTTACAGAACTTTGCGTAGCATATACTTTGCGACGTGACAGTACAGCACATTCAAGATGTTCGATCAGTATCTTCTCCATGGTATCCCTACAAATATCAAACTGTCCAAATATCAGATTTAGAACAAAGTTATTTTGGATATGTGTTTGATAAATGACACTCAACAAAACGAGTTTATCTGTAATAGCTCTTTCAAACAGTTCAGAAGTTTTAACCTGTTTTTACATTTGTCGCTACTACCTGCTTTCGATTTGTTTTAATCTTTCAAAACTAATAACCTCAGTGGAGGTCTTTGAATTCGACGTAAATCGATATACCAAGCATGTCAGATCAAGAAAGTGATGTAGAACAGGATCTCCTCGATGACATTGTTGTCAATAAGTATAAAATGGCTGCTGAGGTTACGAACGGTAAGTAGTATGAATATTTTTCTTTGATGTGGTTATCTCAGCGGTTCTACTCGAGTTGATTGGTCTTTGCGTTGATGGTGCTCATATTGCTCGATTGTGTGAATTAGGTGATCAGAAAATCCTTGAAAAAGTATCCCAGTTATTTAAGAAAGAAAAAGAAATGAAAAAAGGTATCAGGTTGATTTTTAAACCTATTTTCAAGGTATTGCTTTTCCAACGGCAATCAGTGTTAATAATATGATATCCAACTACTCTCCAATTGAATATGAAGAAAATGATCCTACAGAAATAAAAAATGGAGACTTAGTTAAAATGTAATTCACACCCGTTTTCGAATACTTTTTTAGTGATGTAGGTGCTTATGTAGATGGCTATGCAGCTATAGTTGGACATACTTTCGTAGTTGGTGCAAGTCAGGTAACGAATCCCTACAATACCACATGTTTAACAGGACAACAAAATCACTGGTCGTAAAGCTGATGTCATACTAGCCGCACATGCAGCATCAGAAGCTGTCATGCGGTTATTAAAACCTGGGGTGGAGGTTTGAAACTCAAATTATTAGATGTCTCGTCTTTCAGAACTTAAAAGTTTCAGAAATTGTAAATAAGACAGTTACAGATTTTAACTGTCATGCCATAGAAGGTAAGATTCTCTTAAATAGCATTCTTTTCAATAGGCATGCAATGTCATCAGATGAAAAAACTTGTATATGACGCGGAAAAAAACATTATTTTCAATCCATCTGAAGAGCAGAAAAAAACAGTTGAAAAGTGTACTTTTGACACAAATGATGTTTGGAATGTGGATATTGTTGTTTCAACGGGTGATGGTAAACCACGAGAACATAAGACACGAACAACTCTGTTTAAGAAAAATGAAACTTTATACCAATTAAAAATGAAAGCCTCTCGTCGTTAGTGTACTATTATTTACGAATAAAACCTTTAGAATTATATAGTGAAATCTCAAACAAATTCTTGACATATCCATTCAGCTTACGGTAAGTAAATTATTTTAAAAAAGTCATTTTATACTTACTGTTTAGTGCCTTGGATGATATTAAAAAAGCTCGACTAGGTATTACTGAGTGTATAAAACATGGAGTCATTCAACCACTTTCAGTTGTCTGCGAAAAAGATGGTATGTTTATGTATTTCCGTTTATTTTACGTCCTAGATGAATTTGTTGCTCAATTCAGGTTTACTGTTTTGCTCATGCCTAATGGCCCTATGAAAGTTACTGGATTGTCTTTTGATCCTTCTTTGTACAAATCCGATTACAAAGTTAAAGATGCAGAAATCAAAGTATGTCATTTTACTAATTCTTCATCTTATTTTTTTAGGATCTGCTTTCCCAACCTATTAAGATTCAGAATAAAAAGAAGAAGCTTTTAAAACCAGAATCAGGTGACAAAAACTCAGCTTAAAAATCTTGTACTATTTGACTTCGAAATATAAAAATGGTCGTCAAAAAATTAGTTTTGCTACTTCTTTGAAGCTGTACGTCTAACTTACAAAGCGACATAACCTATTTCTGAAATAATTTAATGGTCAGTTATTCGATCAGTTTACGTGTTTGTTGATAGTTGAGATTACTGGCTAATATCCTAATTTTTTCAGGCCGATTAAGTAATAATTGTTTCCACGTATCTTGATGATACACTTATTAGTTGTTGTTATTTGTAGGCAGCTTGTTTTGTAAGTAAACATATTATTCCAATCTGACTTATCTGGGAATTTAAACGTAATTACCCTTTTATTACTAATAGAGATTTAGTGATAGTACTATAAAGTATAGCCTAGTTATTTTAGAGTAATTTGTGAATAGATTACGTTTTATTCTGTTTCTCGTACGTATTAAAAAGGTCTATGGATGGCGGTCGCATAATAAATATCACGTCATCTTGACGTTTAATAATGCATCAAATTTTCATTGAACCATTTTGCGCCGCAGATGTAACAGTGCGCTATGTATTGCTCTATCGATGGCTTGTGAAAGTAGCAGACATTCTCAAGCTTCTGAAAATAAGTCTGTTAGAAGTATCTTTTGCGTTTCGTTAAACGACCGGATAAACTAAACTGAGTAACCAGTTTATTAGATAGTGAGACTCCACTAACTGAGGTGCCCGGAATGATATCTGTGCATGCCCAACTACTACCTACCTCGATGCACAACTTTGAATGAAGTTAGTTAGGTGATAGCTGAGAGTGATCAAGCCATAATGTGACATTATTCGATGTAGTCTCAACCTATTGGTCTAGGTCATGCGGGTGAAGGCCTACTATATTGATTAGTATTCACCCAATCAATGGGTGCTGTTGGGTGATGTGACTCAGAATTTTCTTCCAAATAGTATAGATTCATTCACTCTTTATCTACCTCTGGATCTTGAGTTTTGGTATTCCTCTGTATGTATCCTTTCGGTTCTGTAGAACTGTATTCTTCATGTCTAACCTTTTATCATTATCGCTGTTACCGTAAGAAATGTTAAATCTCCAATTAGAAAGCAATCAAACGCAAGGCAATAAATCAAGCTAATTTTCATCCAATTAAGTCTCATTGTATTAGACACAGACAGATACAACGCAGAACTTCGTACATAAGTACATCAGTTCAGGTTGTCATGCCCCATCAGTACAGAGACGCCAGTGTCAGTTCAAATCCAAGTGTGATAGCAATAATAGAAGTATTAGCAGTAATTGAGAAGATTAGGGAGCAAAGATATGATTTGAGGAGTATAATTCAGTAAGATAAATTTAGAAGGAGAAAGGTAGGCATTCCGGTGGGTTTTTGTTTCAACCATTGAACTTTAACTCTTAGCAATGTTCAGTTGTATTCATTTTATATACGTTTCCTTTTTTGATTCATAATCTCTGTACCTAATGAAGATGAATTGATCTTCTTGAATTGCTGTTAGATAAATCTGCCTTAACAAGATTTATCTTCTTTTTAGTGAATAAAGCTACGAAAGGTGGGAGCAATGTCTTAAAAGTAAAGCTAAAAGTTTTCTCAGACAAGTCATATACTACATTAATTCAAATTCTCTGATCATTGTTAAATTCATTTCATTATATAAGTATTGGATAAGAACTTGGAAAAGTGCATATTTGTATTGAACTGTGAGTTGGATTGCGTAATCAAATCTTGAAAAATATCTAAAGGAGATTCCTGACGGACGTAAATATCGTGTTACAACTGAATGACTGATGAACAATTTTCGCATAATAAAAATATCGTCGAACCTAAATCTCTCCGATTGCTGGTAATACTTCTACTACCTCTACTACTATGGGACTTGAATTGACAATTACATCTCAGTGCTAATGTGGTATGGCAAAATGAACTGATGTACGTACGTACGTACGTACGTAGTAAAAATGTTAATCCTTTTTTTAAAAAAATACCGAGATCGATTGGAATTTAAATTTCTATTATGGTTGAATATTAACTCATAAAACTCAATTTCTAGATTAGTATCAAACCTCTAGTAAATATATCGACGGGCTATGTTTTGTGGTTTAGGAGAGTAGGTTGGAAGAAAACTAGGGGCGTCCAAACCAAAACATGTCAGAAATCCATGAAGTCACTGACAAGTGAACTGAATCATGTTGGTAGATGTAGGCTATCTGGTTGGGGTCCACGAGACGAAAGTCACCGATTGTTAGAGACTTTGAACGACGTGGCTCAGAATCGTTTGCAATGGCGCAGGTACATCCACTCTTTGTGTTCTCTCAAATTCTAATCTTCAGAAATTCATTATCTATATTAAGCGGTGTCTTGGTGGTTGAAAGACTTCCATTATGTATTTTGAAGTCCCTATCATCCATCTACTTCGCTTCTAGAAACCTAGTAATAGTGATATTTGTCATACTTCAGTGTGTCTTTAAGCTGAATACATGAACTAACATTTAATAAGTTGGCTGAATTTATGTAAAAAAACTATAAAGTTGGAAATTACTGTATACTGATATACAATTATTTTGTACGATTAGTAATGATTTTGCATACATGTATACATGTGTATAACTATGAAACTATTTTGTTGTAGATTTTTCTACACCAATTTATAATGAAGTCCATTAACACAGTTATTTCCTAATGCTTATTGATAATTTTCTCAAAATCAAATTCTAAATTGTTCCTAGTGTATATTGAAAAAAAAGACTAATGAGAAGCACCTTCGTATATTATTCCCCTATCGTTCAGATTTTACAATCTTACTTACTTACTTTACTTACGCCTGCTACTCCCAATGGAGCATAGGTCGCTCACCAGTTTTCTCCAACCAACTCTGTCTGTACTGGGCTTCCTACTCCAGTTCTGTCCAATATTTGTTCATTCCTCTCATATCTTTCTCTATTTCTCGACGTAATGTATTCTTTGGCCTTCCTCTTTTCCTTTTGCCTTCAGGGTTCTATGTAACGGCTTGTCTGGTGACGCAGTTAGGTGCTTTTCGTAGTGTGTGTCCTATCCACTTCCACCGCTTCTTCCTGATTTCCTCATCCACTGTAATCTGGTTTGTTTTCTCCCATAGTACGTTGTTGCTGATGGTGTCTGGCCAACGAATACGAAGTATTTTGCGTAGACAGCTGTTAATAAACACTTGTATCTTCTGGATGATGGCTTTGGTAGTTCTCCATGTTTCCGCTCCATACAGTAGAACTGTCTTGACATTTGTATTGAAAATCCTGATTTTGGTGTTGATTGAAAGGTGTTTGGAGTTCCAGATATTTTTCAACTGTAGAAATGCAGCCCCTGCTTTGCTGATCCGCGCCCTCATATCTGCATCGGATCCACCTTTCTCGTCGATGATGCTACCCAGATATGTAAAGGTGTTAACGTCCTCCAAGGCATTTCCATCAAGAGAGATTTGGTTGGTGCATGTTGTGTTGCATCGGAGAATTTCGCTTTTTCCTTTATGTATGTTGAGACCTACTGCTGCAGAGGCTGCTGCTACACTGGCCGTCTTCTCTTGCATTTGTTGCTGCGTGTGCGATAGAAGAGCCAGGTCATCTGCGAAGTCCAGATCGTCCAGCTGCGTCCTAACTGTCCAGTTGATACCGTGCTTCCCTCCAGATGTTGACGTCTTCATAATCCAGTCGATCACCAGGAGAAAGAGAAAGGGTGAGAGTAAGCAACCTTGTCTGACACCAGTCTTCACCTCAAAAGAGTCTTTCAGCTGACCTCCGTGCACGATTTTGCAGTTGAATCCATCATAAGAATTCCGTATGATGTTAACTCTCTTCTCAGGCACACCGTAGTGTCGAAGAAGCCTCCACAGTGTTTTCCTATCCACGCTATCGAATGCTTTCTCGTAGTCGATGAAGTTGATGTAGAGTGGTGAGTTCCATTCAATTGATTGTTCCACAATGATCCGTAATGTTGCAATTCGGTCAGTACACGATCGATCCTTACGAAATCCGGCCTGTTGATCTCGAAGTTGGGCGTCTACGAAGTCCTTCATTCTGTTTAACAATACCCTGTTGAAGACTTTGCCTGTTATTGAAAGAAGAGTGATGCCTCTGTAGTTCTCACACTTGCTCAGATCGCCTTTCTTTGGTATTTGATCAGGTATCCTTCTTTCCAATCTGATGGTACTTGTTCCTCATCCCAAATCTTCTTGAAGAGGATGTAAAATATTTTCGCAGTTGCTTCTACATCTGTTTTCATTGCCTCTGCTGGAATGTTGTCTGGTCCTGCTGCTTTGCCGTTCTTGATTTGTCTGATGGCCATACAATCTATATGGAGTTATATACACAAAATGCCAGCTACCATGATAAGAGATTGTAAGTAATAAATCTTGTCATGTAATATGAATAATAGATTTGTGATAAGCGAAAAAGGAACCCTGAATTGACCAGGTTATCGTTAGTTTTCGAGAAAAAATGGCGAAAAATAGAAATATCATATATCAGTTTTTGAATAAATCTACACGGAGATTATGTATACTGGCTTGCAAGAAAATAGCTTCTAAAAACTAACCTCTCCTCTTGTTACCCTCTATCTAATGTGGTGAATATTACTCGTAACATGGCTGATAAAAGAAGTATACAACGTGGTGTCGCTCAGACGTTGTTACAGAAGAGAAGAGTTTATTGGGTCGAAATGCTTGACAGGACTAAAGTGTTTTGAGGACTAGCAGATATGTCAAAGATAGTAAACTATGTCTTCTCTGAATACACTACTGTTGTATCTGCTCTTGACGTATTCATTGATTACTGTTAATCTCGTCTCTAGGTATGCTTAGAATGCTACAGGTTCACCTTAGTCGAATAACACAAACAAAACAATGAACCAGCGTTCAGGTAGGGGCTACTGTAATCCCTTGACCCAATTGTACCAGCAAAAAGTCTTGATATAGTGTAGAAAGTGTATTCTACAAACACCCAGCCAGCACACAATGAATCCAAGCACTCAAATTTCGTT